GTAGACCCAAAGAAGGTTGAGGCAGTCATGAGTTGGGAGAGACTGAAGTCAGTCTTCGAGATACGCAGTTTCTTGGGATTGACATGGTATTACAGAAGGTTCATCAAGGACTTCTTCCGATTAGCTGCTCCTATGACGAGATTGGCCCAGAAAGAGGTCAAATTTGAGTGAAATGATTATTGTGAGAAGGCATTCTAGGAATTAAAAAGGAGGCTTACTTTATCTCTTATTCTAATAGTTCCGAAAAGGGGACAGAGGTACACGGTGTATTGTGATGCCTCGAAAGACGAACTTGTGTGCGTTTAGATGCAGTTCGGGAGGGTAGTGGCTTATGGTTCTTGGCAGTTAAAGAACCACGAGCAGAATTATCCCACACATGACATGGAGTTGGCGGTCATTATTTTTGCTTTGAAAGCTTGGTGCCACTATCTATATGGTGAGCAGTTCAAAGTGTTTTCGGACCATAAGAGTCTGAAGTATATATTTACACAGTAGGACCTCAACATGAGGCAACATAGGCGGATGAAATATTTAGAGGACTATGACTTCATTTTGTATTACCATCCTAGTAAAGCAAACATGGTGACTGATGCACTCAGTCGGAAGTCACGGAGAGTCTTGGCTAGTGCAACTTCCCGAGAGTGGTAGATGCTCGAGATTGTAGGACAGTTTGGGCTACGTTACATAGGGCAAACTCAGGGTATTTTAGGGAGTCTAGTGGTTACACCTTCCCCTACTGAGCAGAGTAATCGAATCCTAGAGGTAGGACACGAAGATATTGTCCATTAAGGACCGAGTACGAGTAGGTACAAGTGATAAGGGCTAGACCATTCACTCGGATGGTAGTCTTCGGTTTAGGGGAAAGATTGTGGTTCCCCAGTCTACAAACCTAAGGGAGGAGATTCTCAGAGAGTTTCACTGCTCCCGTTTTGTTGTACATCCAGGTGGCACGAAGATGTATCATGATCTTTGTCGCCAATATTATTGAAGCGGGATGAAGAAAGACGTTAGAGACTTTGTCAGATGATGTCTCACTTGTTAGTAGGTTAAGGTTGAGCATCAGAGACCACGGGATTACTCCAGCTTTTGGAGGTAGCTGAGTGGAAGTGGGAGTATATCACAATGAATTTTGTGACTCACTTGCCACGGACATCGCGGGGACAAGACGTGGTGTGAGTGATAGTGGACCGACTTACTAAGTCGGCACATTTCTTGGCTGTACGGATGACCTTCACATTGGAGGAATTCTACAGGTAGTATATACAGGAGATTGTCTGGTTGCAGGGATGCCCATATCTATAGTACCAGATCGGGATCTCAAGTTTACGGCTCATTTTTGGGAGATTTTCCAATGAGCTATGGGAACACAGTTGATGATGAGCATTACTTTTTATCCCCAGACGGACAGTTAATCTGAGAAGACCATCCAAACGTTAGAGGACATGCTATGGGCATGCGTCCTAGATCTCAAGGGTAGTTGGAAAGATCATCTATCTTTAGTGGAGTTCACCTACAACAATAGTTATCAGACGAGTATTCAAATGACACCCTATGAGGCATTATATGGGAGGTTATGCCGTTCTCTGGTTTGTTGGACGGAAGTAGGAAAGAGATCTTCTACGGGTCCGGAGTTGATAAGAGACACCTCAGAGAAAGTGGACTTGATTCGGAAGCATCTTCTCATGGCTCAAAGCCGACAGAAGAGCTACGCCGGCAGACAGCGACGACCTCTAGAGTTTGAGGTGGGAGATCATGTCTTCTTGAAGGTGATGCCTAAAAGAGGAGTGGTCAGGTTTGGTAAGCGAGAAAAGCTATCGGTGAGGTATATCGGGCCCTTCGAGGTACTCGAGAAGGTTGGTACAGTGGCTTATCGATTGGAGTTATCACCAAATCTATCAGGTGTTCATGCGGTATTTCATGTCTCCATACTTCAAAAATACACCTCGGATCCGACTCATGTGGTGGATTGGGGCAAGCTTGTTGTTGATGTTGATGGGACATTCGAGGAGTGGCCGGTGTGCATAATGGATAGCCGGGATCAATTTTTGCGAGACAAGACCTTAAGGCTAGTGAAGGTGCTTTGGCAGCACCGAGGAATGGAGGAGGTGACATGGGAGCGCAAGGACACTATTTGTACCAATTATCCTTTCTTATTTAAGGATGGAGGTACATTTTTATAGTCATTCCGTGTTATATGACTGTTGCATATGCATGTGCTTGAATGTATATGTGTGTGTGAATTTCAGGGACAAAATTCTTTTAAGAGAGAAGAATGTAAAACCCGGGTAAATTTGAACTTTTTCAGAAAAAGGGCAAAATGATAATTTTTTACTATAATGCGGGTTTAAAATTAGTATTTTTGTAAAGCTTGGATGATGCAACGGACCTCAAATTTGGAATCATATAGCGAAATCGAGCTACCATGCCAATTTTCATCGAATTTTGAGATAAGCGAATTTTGACACATTTTACAAGACAAGTGGGTTACGAATGACCTTACAAAGGTCCCCAAAAATAAAATTTATAAAATTTCCTTAAAATTAGATAAAAGTTCAAGTAAAATTAATGTGACCTGAAATCGAGAATTAATTAAGTCGTTTTGGGTTAAAAACGGACCCGAAAGTAATAAACGTGTGAGACAATATGGACCGCGCAAATAAAAAGTATAAATAGGGACTAATTATCTGAAAAATTAGATATTCTCACCCCATTTGGCCGGCTGAATCAGACGTTGAAGAGAGAAGAGGGAGAGAAAGCCTAAAATTTAACCTTTCTTCTTACGATCCAAGGAGTTCTATCAGTCAGAATTCATCGAACCAAGAATTAAAGTTGGTCTACGTGACGAGGGCTACGCGTACGTCCCAAGAACAAGGGATTTCACCGAAGATCCAAAGAATAAATTTTGGGAAAAATAAGTTTTTTGGGTGGTATTGGAGTTCTTGAAGTTTCTACCTTCTATTCACACTCCAAGAGGTAGGGTTTCCTCCTACTTTAGACTATTTCTATCCTATGATGTTCATATGGAAGGGGGTGGGTATGTAGAATATGTATACCACTTGTTTATTATTATGAAAATGAGGGAAAGGGTGTAAAAATGGCTTAGGCCAACTTCTAGCTTGAATTTAATATGTGGGAGTCACTTGTGTAATCCCTTGAAGTTGGTTTATGTGGGCATGTTATATGTTTATATTATGCCTTGTGATTAAGTGTGATTGGCATGAGATTGTGTAACGCAATACTTGAGATTTGTGTTGGATATAAATGTTGATATATGCTAGTTGATGTAGTGACATGATAATGAATTTTAGTGATTATATGCATGTGATATAAATTGCCATGGAACATGTGGTTAATTTGGTCATTAGCATTTTTTGCGTATTGGGCATGAAATCGACATTGTAATGGTGCATTACATTGCATATTGTATGGGAGAAATACATCTATGGCCATGAGTATGGGTGTGTGTGTTTGTGTGCATGGTTGGATTAATCATCATATTTGGTGATTGGTGATGGGCTCGGGAAAAGTTGGATTAAAAATCTGATTGAGTCGCATGGTTGCATGAAAGAAAAACTTGTGTCGGGTATAGCAAAAAGGGCTAGACACTCCCTCAGGGTGAAAGACCCAGCTACTTGGTTCATACACTCCTCTGAGGTGAAATTCTGGAAAAGTGTAATGGCGTACGGAGCTAGCGGTGTGATTCCAAAATCCGATACTCAACAAAGACACATGATTTTGTTATATAAATGATTCATTTGATGGAAAACATCTAGAAATGAATTGATTTTATGAGCATATGATTTTATTTCAAAATGGTCTTTGGATGTATTTCATCAAGGACAAATGTTTGACACATATGCATTGCACTGTGTTGTGGGAGCCGGAGTAGGCTTGGGTGAAAATGTATGAGTGAGTCTCATCTCATATCATGTCATGGCATGGTAGAAATTTCATCTTGAATAGCATGTTCTTGTATGAAATGGATTTATGATTGCGGTTATTGAATGTAAATATTGCATATGCATTTAGGTGGGGAGTAGCCTCTATAGGAAATACTCTACTGGGTGTAGCTCACCCTATACGGGAACACATTTCAGGTGTGGGGTTCGTGCCATCGGAGGACTCGCATTCAGGGCCTCAAAGATGAAGAAAAATAGACTTGTGGCTTTTGTAATACATTTTGTAAAAACTTTGTAAAATTACGGTGTTGAGTATGAAATTGTGTGAATGAATTGTAATATAACTTATAGATAACAAGTTTTATGTGATAAACATCATTAGACATGTTTTAGATGGTGTTGGGATGAATTGAAATAGTTTTGAAATGAAAACTGGGCGAAACAGGCAAAACTGGGCATACAGTACCGGTACTGTGTACCGGTACTGTTGGGTCCAGAGGGCAGAAAATACCGGTATTTTCTGTTCAGAAGACCAAGAGTACCGGTACTGCGTATCGGTACTATTTGTTCAGAAGGCAAATCGTACCAGTACACAGTACCGATACTGTTTCCTAAAATTTGAAATTTTAAAACTAAAGTGTTGTGCTCTCGGCCTCTGATTCCTTTGGTTCTAAATATGTAATTGGACAACAAAGAGCCATGAATTGTGCTATTTTGAGCCACGGTTGTATTAAATGACAAAACATACACAGGTTACACGTGTGGGTTAAAATTCCGATTAAAAGGATACTACTAGCGTGATGTCCGATTAAGCGGCACTCACGGGCATTTCCGCGGGTTGACGGGTCGTCAACGGGACCCCCTATTTTAGGGGCATCACAATGCTTGCCTGAGATAGTTGCATGTCAGCAAGGACATTTTTGTCCATTAAGTCCTCAACCTGTACTTCATGCCACGTGTCTGACTCCTCTTGGTGGAGTGTCTTGTTCATTCTGTCATTCTGACCTTGTTAGGAAGAGTACCCTCATGATCCCTAGTCTAGTTCTGAAAGTGACCAACTGTTAATCAGTAGCCTTTGAAGCCGAGGATACGTGGTACGTGATGAAGACTCCAAGCTGCCTTAGCGTCGAGATGACGTGTCAGGTGGAGAGTGCTCTGCAGACAAGATGTCGAGGACTCTGCGGACAGCATGTCTTGGACTCCGAGGTACTTTTAGTGGAGGGCTTCGAGGTGCCTTTAGTGGACTCTGAGGTACTCTTAGTGGAGGCCTCCGAGGTAGCTTTAGTGGAGGGCTCCGAGGTACGTTTAGTGGAGGGCTTTGAGGTACCCTTAGTGGACTCCGAGGTTCCCTTAGTGGAGGGCTTTGAGGTACCCTTAGTGGAGGGCTCCGAGGTGCCTTTAGTGGACTTTGAGGTACCCTTAGTGGAGGGCTCTGAGGTACCTTTAGTGGAGGGCTCCAAGGTACTCTTAGTGGACTCCGAGGTACCGTTAGTGGAGGGCTTTGAGGTGCTGAGGACACATGTCGTCCAAAGAACACTCCGCGACTAATATGCCGAGGACACGTGCCTCGTCCCCCTTGATCACAAAAAATGTCCCATCAAAATCTTATACATTGTTAGTTGATAATCTCTTCATAAGCTTTCTCACTACTTACCTGTGGGGAATATTCAACTAATTCGTAATCAACAATTTCGGTCAAGTTTGCAGTTTTGCTTAATTTTTTTTTTTTTTAATTCTTGGTTGGTTTTGTTGTCTGCTTTCTTTTGTTTACTATAACTAGGTGTTTGAGCAGTGGTTTCATGGTTGATTTACACAGCCAAAAGAATTCTACAAGCAGACATGTGACCACAGAAAAGCTCCCAAAAATATGTAAGCAACTTTCTTTCTAACCTATGTAGATACAGTGTGCATATATAAGCAGCTTTTTTTTTCTTTTACTGTTAAAGTTGTGTACATATATTTCACTTACCTTTAAATTAGAGAAGAGTAGTTAGGGAAGTAGCATTTATGAAAGTGTATCATATTAAACTGTATTTAGGAAATATGTTATGTGTTGAATTCTTTTCTTTTGAGCAGGTTCTTGGGTTGGCAGAGAAAAAGATGGAGCATAGGGTAGATTTGTTTTACAAGCTATGCAGTTTGAAGAAATTCAATTGCTTGCTATTCTCATAGTATTTCATAGTGTATTCCCCTTTTGCTCTTGAATATCTTTGCTTTCATGTTGATGTTGCTTTCANTTTCATAGTGTATTCCCCTTTTGCTCTTGAATATCTTTGCTTTCATGTTGATGTTGCTTTCATGTATTCGTTCCTATGGATTCTCATTTTTTAATTGGTTATTTTTTATTACACAGTGCTGGTAGGCATGGGTCTATTGCTAAAAGTATTGAGAAATATTTTATTGTTGAGATTGATTATGCAATAGATCTCTATTTACCAACGATACATACAGATAAAAGTATTGAAAAATTGAAAGTGTTCTTTTGAGAAGTGACATAGGAATTTTTTATTAAATTATGTCTTCAGGCACAAATAATTAGTAGTGTGTGTGTGTGTGTGTGTGTGTGTGTATATATATATATATATATATATATATATAGATATATTAGAGAGAGAAATAAATAGTCATATTCTATATATAGATATACATAGGTATGAGAGAGAGGATTTTAATGTTAGTCAAACTCTTAAAATTTAGAAGTTGTTAGTTTTCAAATTTTTGTTAATTAAATATAATTATGAGGGTATGTTGGACAATGAAGATTAAAATTGACTTAATAGTAAATAAGTTTCCTTGATGAATTTATCACCAAATAAGTTCACAAAAGGGGATCGGCCTCCAAATTTTCCTTTTAAAAAATTTTGGTGGGCTGAGAGGAAAAAGAATCCTCTCAAATTTTCTTTCCTACCTGTTTTCCCTCCAAACCAAAAGATGAAAACTTTTTCTTTCCATCCCATTTTTCTCTCACCATTTTCCTTCTTATTTTCAGCCAAACAAACATAGTGTTATTCATATAGGATTACCATGCAGTAGTTTATTAGAACCAGAAGCATTATTATTTTATGGGCAATTCTACATACACCTTTTTTAGTGACTTTATTCAGTAACCTTATCATTCTCTACTATTAAATTAATAGTAAATCTTATTATTAGTTAAGACCCACTATCAATTCAATTGTTATGNAGTGACTTTATTCAGTAACCTTATCATTCTCTACTATTAAATTAATAGTAAATCTTATTATTAGTTAAGACCCACTATCAATTCAATTGTTATGATCTATCATGTCACTAGATAAAGTCACTAAATTACGTACAAAAAGCAATTTTATTAGTTAAATTAGGAGTGTATCTTTTTTTGTTTTTTAAAAGACTTGTTGAAAGTTTTTCTTCACTTGTAACCACTGGGAAAATATTGTGGTATTCAATAGGTAAATTTATATTTAGACCCCTTAAAATTTATTATTTAATCATTTAGATTCCCTAATATTTAAAATATTATACACAAAGCCCCCAATAGTAAATTATACTTAGACCCCTTAAAGGTTATAGTTGTATAATATTTAGACTCTTCAAGTTTAAAATGTTATACTTAAATCGAAAATACTATAATCAAACATAGAATATCATATATTTTAAATTTATGATTAAAATTCATGTTCTATTATGACATTTATTGAAATAAAATCAAAATTAAAAATCTATTTTTTTTTTAAATCTAAAAATAAAAATTAAATAATTATACTATCTATTAGAATTTAATTTGGCCATTTAATTGATCAAATTAAACTACCAATTTACCCCATTTAAAGTTAGAAGATATTATGTCTATTACAGTTTGACCCCTTCTTTAATTTTTTAGTCTTATTCCAATATATAATATAATTGTATACTAATTATAATTTTTTAAGAAAATAATATATTTTGATTTCAATAAATGCATAATAGAACATGAATTTTTGTTGTAAAATGCATGTTCTATTATGAATGATTTAGACCCCTTGTTTAATTTTTTAGTTTTATTTCAGTAGATAATATAATTGTAAATTATTTACGATTTTTTAAGAAAAAATTGAATTTTTATTTTAAATTTTCTTTCAATAAATGATACAATAGAACATTAATTTTAGTTGTAAAATTTAAAATATTTGTTATTCTATCTCTGATTGGAATATTTTTTTTTATCTAAGTATAACATTTAAGCTTAAGGGGTCCAAGTATTATAAGCTTATAAACTTCAAGAGTTTTGAGTGTAATTTACTAACTGGTGTACATTGATGACAGGGGGTGTAAGTATTACACCTGTACAAACCTCAGAATGTCTATATATAATATTTCAAATGTTAAGAAATTTAAGTGATTAAATAATAAATTTCAGGTAGTCTAGTTGTAATTCTCCCTATTCAATAATAATGACCTTGCGGCTTTCGTTTTTTTCGGTCGCCTTCATTGCTTGGTTCTTTGTTGTTTTGCTTGGTTCTTTTTCATTTGTTCATTATTTCTTGGTTCTTTAATTTTGCGTGTGTGATTATTTGAGTTCTTGATTATTTTATTTAAGATCCTACACCACCCCTTAAACACCATCTCCACCCCCAATCTATTCTCTCTTTCTACGCAAACTCCATCATCAACCACCCTACAACATCCACCCGCTACAACCACCACCACGTCACTTCCATTCTTCACGATTCTGTTTTTTTTCTATTGTTGTCCATGCCTCTGACCAGCAGCATAACCCACCAAATTCTAATTTCAATTGGGTGTGTTCAATCATGATTTGCTTGATTTTGATTTCAATCACAATTTTGATTGTTGATTCATATTTTGATTATGTTGTTCGGTGTTGCGATGATGGTGGTACTAGTTTGATTAGGCTGGGGTACTGGTAGGGATGTCAGTAGACCGAAACGGGGGGTGCAGTTTTCATCCCCGTACCTGCTTAAAAAAATTTCGTCCATCCCCGGTCCACCCCCATTAACGGTTATAGTTATCATCCTCATCCCCGTTCGCAGGTAAATTTCTAATCCCCGTCCTTGTACCCGCTTCTCCCGTACACGCCCAAGTCCAATCCCAAACCCAAGCCTACCCCCATACTACTGGCTTCTTCAAGCAACCGAAATTTAGATAATTTTTTGTAGACAAAAATGGAAATTTGCTTGCCTAGGAACAAACATGGTAATATTTAATTTTAGTATCTAGTATCCAAACATCTTAGATTACCTGTCCAATTCTCCCAGATACATTTTTTTGTGGTACAATATGTAGCATGTCAATAAGAGATGTCGCCAAAGAAAAATCATAATTTAGTTGCAAAACTATTTTCTTGAGCTTACTATACAAATTTAAATCAATTTAATTTATTATCACATAATATGGACAAATCTCGTACACTAAGTGGTGGTTTGCTTTTTTAATTTAACATGATTACAATGAAAGTTTGGGACTTAGATTTTTTTTTTTTTTTGGTGGTGTTGAGTAGATTTTTTAATTTTTTTTTTACGAAATTGGACACTAATTTAACCAAATATGAGAAGATTCTTATCTAGCCCAAAATCAGTGTGTACCCATCTGTCTCTAGAATATATATAGTCTCGTGTTTTCTAGAAGTTTATTTAAAAATTTCCAGTGAATGTATTAGCCTATAGGAGTATTTTTATTTAT